GCTGAAACAAAAATAAAATAAAAATAATAAAACCACTAAGTAGATTCTTCAAATTAAGACTTGGTGGACAGGAATATACCAAAATTGGATCAAATATAGAGCTTCCTTTTACATCCAGGTGTTAGGAAATGCAACTCTATGCCATAGAGGCATAGGCCATTTTCTATTGCTTCTTATCCTTGAGGAACGTACAATTTTTTTTCCCATGACAAAATTGTCTTAAATAGTTAAATCAAGATTATAAATGACATTAAGTTTCCTCTTACCCAACATTTACCAGCATGACTGTCTCTCACTTCCCACCTCACCCCAAGGATGTGTGAACCATTTTCTCCCCTTCCCCTATGCCATCAATCCGCCTCAACTAACCAAACAACTTCACAGCGGCCAGTCCCACAAAAAATTGCATTTAAAACAATTTAAACAAATAGAAGAAAATGGATTTTGGAATTCATATTCCCTTAGAAAACTGCATATAATATTTCCATTGTGTTTTTGTCATAAACAACATAAAGTTTCATAAGAACCAGCTATATTAGATGCATGTCCTAGATCTCATACCTTTGCTCTCTTGAAGAATGAGATGAAGTCATCATCAGCAAGGTGGCCAATACACCACTGCACCCATATCACATCATATCTTCCTGCATCTGGAGTGAAGTCCTAAATGAAGCCAAAACAAAAGAAACAAATTGAGTAACAGATCACGAAACAATAGCAAGAAAAATCATAATGTCCTTTCAAATTCAAGTATACAAGAACAAAATGTTCAGTTCATAGTTCAACAAACATGATAAATGTTGGCTTTGTCAGTTTAACCTAGGAACAGATTTTTTAAAAAAAAAAATACCAAACAAGTGTAACCTGGAAAAACTCATTTGAGTAAAGCAGCACTCCTCCAGGTGACCCCATACCAAACAAGTTTAGATTTTGGGCTTTGATGTTTGTAATTATTTCCTATTTTTTGGGGGCACATAACTACTTCTGCCCAATCAAAATTAATTTGATTATTTGATCTTTCTAAAAATCATGACATACTGCATAACTAAGCAACCAAAAGTTACAAAGGGGTATCAAAATACCTACATCCAGAGCATTGTACAATTCTTCAAGAGAAATTCTTTAAGCACATAGTACTCTATTTTTGCTTTAAGTGTTGTGCCTGGCTCTGGATATAGAAAACTAGAGATATTCCTATGGTCTGATCATTACCTGAAATTAAATATGACCTATTCGATCAGACAATTAATTTCCTAAAAAATATATGTATATGTACGTGTGTCTGCTTCCATGCAATTTTACTTGTAGTAAAGTATCAGGATCAGTATATTTTATATAGAATGGATCAATGGAGGTAAGGATTACATTTTCTGTAGTTTCAACACAATCATCCATTGATGAAATATGACAATGATGGAGGTAAGGATTAAATTTGTCTAGTAGCAGTTTAAGACAATAAGCACAACCTTAGCACACTACCTGAAGTGGAACACAATAAAAGTTGGCAGCTCTGTGCATCTCAGGCACTGTTAAATCTTCAGGAGCCAAGTTCACACGAGCAGCCTCCAGAAAATGTGGTACAGGTTCAAGAAGGTCAACCTGGATTTATTTTTGCAAATAAAATTCAATTAATCATAATCTGCAGGAGTTTGCTTGCAAACATGCAAAACAGACTTGTGGCTTAGCATGCATCAGTATCATTTGTAAACAATTGCCTCTCAAAAGTTAAACTTGATGAGCTGGTGATAAAAGCATTATTAAAAAGAATAAAAATAAAATTAGGCCACTTCATTCAGGCATTTGTGATTTAACCAATTACAATATTCACTCTAAAGGACCAATATCCCTATGCTCACACTACACCCCGGAGCCTAATGTTTATACAGGAGTAGTCTTTCCAAGTTAGTGTTTCAGGACTGAGGGACTGCAAGACTGCTATAATTCAATTCTCATTGAAACATTTGGTTTGTCATTGTTGTAAAAGATTGATTTTGTTTTTTCTTTGTTTCCTACCAATTTTCTTCTTTAGTTTCTACACCTAATACTGCCCCTCCCATTTCACCCCCTGTATCATTCTTCTACCCTAATGTTGAAACTATTAGACAGATTTAAATATTAAAAATTGCTCCAATCAACAACCTTGTGAAAATTTTATGAGGCCATTTATGGAAAAACCATTTCTATTTATATTAGAAGAAAAGGAATAAAAGACTTATGTCCATCCTCTCACTCTCCACACCCCTTCAAAATGAATTTGTGGATTATGCATTCCAAGGGTACATTTGTCCCATAGGAATTTAAGAAAAAGAAAGATAAAAGATGTAATAACTTAAGAGAGACATGCAAGACTGTGAGTTTGATGTGCCAAAGAAGAGTAAGTCCCTTTCAACTAATGTTTTCTCCAGTGAAATTAATGGATAATTAGAAAGAAAGAAAGAAAAGCAAAAAAAAAAAAACACTGAGAATAAGTTCAAATTGGATATTGGCTTGATATGAGCAGGTGGCTTGTTGAACATTTTCTAATGAACTAAAAGGCTTTGTTAGCCATTTCAGACATGCTTTGATCTCCATCAGTTGATCAAAGTCATGTTACCATGAAGGAACAAGCAACAAACTTCAAATGTTTACCTCATTAAAATGCCTTAAAAGTAGATTCTTGGTGACCCTTCCAATTCCAGAGCCACAATCTGCAGAATTGCAAAGAAAGTCAATTTACTCAAACCTATTGACCCTTAACTCAGTATTGTTTGAACAAGACACACAATTTCTCCTCATTAACCATACACAAAATTTGACAAACCTATACTGAAGTGGCATAAATGCATAAAAAGTAAAAACAGACAGCAAAAGCCAAAGACCAGTAAACTACCAAGTGCTACAAGGTGCCGAGATGTCCTTCCAGCAGTAGGGGCGTCCCTCTGAGCCGGAAACCTCTCAGCCAAAATGCTAGTGAGAAATGCATCGCTTGCAGCTATATCGGCATCATTCACATGGCCATAACCGCCCAGCACTCCGTCAACGGTTGCGTCCACCTTCTGCTAATAGCCAATAATCATAATTATTTAGGTTACAAACCAAAACACTAAGACATATGTATATATATATATACGATATAGTGAGAGAGAGATGAGAGATTATTGCCTCCCAATAACGAATGGCGGTGCCGTACCACTGAGATTTGCTGCCTTCCTCTCCCACCTCTTCTCTCCACATCTCCTCTGCATTTCTGAACTCACGCCCGTCCGAGTCAAGCCCGTTGGAATCCATGTAGCAGTGATTTCTGTTCTTATTGTTATTATAATTAGTCGTTCTCGCTCTTTTTCTGCTTCCTAGAAGACAATAAGAGTTGCCGGCGCCGTGAAAGTCGCTGTGGCTTTCCGGGAATAAATGCGGCGGAGCAAATGCAACTCCGCAGGCCGCAGCAGGTAGCAGTAGTGGTCGCCGGCGGCCGTAGGGGTTGGGCACTTGGGCAGTGGGTTGGAATAACTTAGTGGAATGCATTTATTTATTTTGATTTTGCTTTTATTTCTTTACATCATATTATATATTCCCACCATTTTTATTTTATTTGTGATTTGTGACATTTGTCTATCTTTTTAGTATTGGTATATCTCAAAATAAAAATGGAGGGTATGGCAAATTGGCAATGAGGTTTTTAGTATTAGATGTTTATAAGAAAGCATTTGATAAATTTATTGTTTCATGTAACTTGTAAAATAATTATTTTATTTATCAAATTATTCTTAAATTATTTTTAGTTTTGAATATAAATTTTAAAATAAGTTTATTTTTTTATAGTCATGTGACATGGTCGATTGATCGGATAGTCCCAATGTTAATTAGAGCAGGAAGGGGAGATTCAAGGATTAATTGGTTCTAGTAATAATTGAAGTTTAGGAACAATGTTTTTTTTACCTAAACTGAGTTGAAAAATGAAGTTGGGGCTAGAACGCAAAGACCAAAAAGATATGTGCAGAATATACATTATTTGATAATATACAAAATAATATATTTTCAATACTTAAATAATGTATTTTATTTACACAAATAATGTATTTTTTTTTATTTATGGTCCACGTAATTGTGTGGACCATAATGATATCTCCCTCTAACACTTGTAATCTCAATCCTAAATTTGCATATTTAAACTAGTGATCTCTATAGACTAGCTATATTAGAAATTGAGATGGTGCCATGGCAATGAAGAAGAGTGGTTATAGAGAGAAGATAACAATGGTGATTATGGAAAAAGTGGAGGGAGGTTGAAGGAGGATGGTGACAATGGCCAAAAGTCTCAAGTTCAACATATCAAACATCACACAACTATTGAGATAGGAATTGTCAGTGTCCTACATATATTCCTTAGAGCATCTCTATTAGTGCATTTTGTACAATTTTTTAGAATAACATAACTCCTTAGAGCATCTCTATTAGTGTATTTTGTACAATTTTTTAGAATAACATAACTGATGTGAAAAGGAAGGGAAGAGAGAGAAAATTTGAGCCTCCTACAAGGATGAGTTTTTTGTGAGTCCCGCAACACAGAAAAAAAGAGAAAATGAACGCACATTATTGCGTGTTTCGCGCACAATGGCGCCCAACCGGGTGCATCATTTCCCTTGCGTCAAAACTCTATTTTTCCTTTTTTTTTTTCCTTCTTCTCTTTCCCTCCTCTCTCTCCTACTTGGCACCTCAAAAACCACCCCAAAAATCTCACTATTGAGGATGCCCTTATCAACTATGCATTCATCAAGCTTCACACATTGTCCCTAGTTGATAAACGACTACAATGAGGTAAACCAGTTTAAATTGTTCATAGATGACTGACTCAAACCAAGAAAGTCAATAAACCACTCCTATTGAGAGTCAGATTCGAAACATTGTGATTACAAAACCAATAAACCTGACCAACTTAGCTATGATTACCCCTAACTTCACACATTTTTTGTGTAACCATAAATTTTCATCAACCAGTCAACTAGGACCATACCGTGTTTGTGGCAGGTAGAAAAAGTTCATACATTAGAACTTAGAGCCACCAAAATGTAACTGTTTTACAATGGGGGGTAGGGTAAGAGGGGGGCCTAGAGAGCAATTTTACCATACATATGGTTAGACTAAAAATGTAGCAAAAGAAGACATTGCAAGCCCAAAGATTCTAGAGTGCAGATCATGAATTACTACTCCTATTCCATTCCCATACAACTTCATAGTTTTCAGCAGCATCTGTTATCGAAAATTCCCCGTCTTTCTTTCTAAAAACCGCTATTTGGGAGGCAAACCCTGGTTCTTTATCACCATCCCCACCAACTCCGCTGAACTCAACACTATAGTTATACCTCAGAGCTAGGTCAGTTGCCCAGTGGCGGAATTGCTCTCTTGTCCACTCAAATTTGTGGTCATGGTTGCGGAATTTACATGTTTGATTCTCATCTCGCTCTTCCGGGCTTTGAAGAGTAGATCTTTGGAGAATTGGATTGTATTCATAATTTGGGGTCGAGACAATAAGAATGCGTGGACAAAACGTGCTAAGTACAACATTCCCGAATATACAAGCCTCATCTTCTTCCATGTGTTCAATGACCTATAATACACCAAACGTCGAACTTTCATAAATCTATAATCTATAATTAAAAATAAAGAGACACAAAGATTACTCTACAATTTATATATATATATATATTTTTAAAAGGGCGCCTAGGTGCCGATTAATTGGCGCTGCCCGAGGAACGACTAGCGATTTTTGCAACCTTGCTTGCTATGTAATCTCTAGCAGAAAGAATAACAAAAAGTTGGGAGAACTTTTAAGCTCAAGATCTCATTACCTCCAAGCAGGTTGCAATATCAAATCCACGTAAACGAGAATCGAAATTTGTAATGGAACCATAAAATAGGACAGCAGATTCAACTTTGTTAATCGATGGTTCAGTATCCATACTTGCATTCAGTTTCGTATGGAGTATCTGCATTGTAAATCGCCAAGAGTAAGTGTAATTAAACATGATTAAGTTTAGATATAAAAACTATACAGACAGAAAGTTGTTTCTATTTTTGTTTCCGCACTACATAGTATATACATCAAGCACAACTAACAAGAAAAGCATGGATTTAGAATAAAAGAATTTAAGAAGTAGAGCCACTATAAAGTAGATCTAAATGCTGACCTTTGCTGCACGGGCAAGACCTTTATGTGAAAGATCGACACCAGCAATCGTCTCCAAAGAACTTGGATAGTCTAATAGAGAATCCAATAAACTTCCAGAGCCACAACCCAAATCAACCTGGGATTTCAACCAAATTTTAAACTCTAATTTAAAATTTAAGAGATTTTAATCAATTAATCACATTGAAAAACTTTACCAAAGACGCAGCACACGATTGTCTAATGTGTTGCAATGCATATTCAACACGTTGTTTTGATAGAGGAGGTTTAAATAAAGCCTGCTCCATTCTGTCCTCCAAGGGTACTGTCACCCGCAGCAAAGTTATTGCACACTCCAGAAAGCACGTTCCTGTCCAAGAAAGAGGAAAACGCTAGGAACGAATTTTATTTTATTTTTCTTTGGTCAAGCCATGAGGTGTCCTGAGCAAGCCCTAACTATAGGAGTCACCTTTAAGCCAGTATCATACTCATACTAATCCCTATTCGCACCAGGCTGGCCCAATTAAGGAGCAAAGTGCAAACCAGATTGGTTTTTTCATACGAGAGGGGGTTCGAACTCCTGACCTCTCTTAAGGGATGAGATTGCACGGCCGCTCACACCAACCAAGCTGGTTGTTAGGAACGGAATTTGCAACATAAGTTATAGCTTAGGGACGAGAAGTGAGCTCGACCTATTAGAAAGAAGAAAAAAAAAACCAAAAAAAAAAAAAAACAAAACAAAACAAAACAAAACAAAAAATAAAAATAAAAAATTGCAACGTCAGTTATAGCTTAGGGTCGATAAGTGAGCACGACCAACAAGTAGGGATGAATCCTACAATTATTACCCTATAACTTAGGGACGAAAAGTGCAATTTTCCCGACCAAAACATATCCTAACAAAGAAGATAGTGAAATTGAATTGTTAATGTACCTGTTGACAATAATGTAACAATAGTTTCAGAATCACGAGCTGCTGCTAGAATGAACTCATCGGGAGGCAACTCCATATTAATCCATGCAGACTGACCAACAGACATCTGTGTAACAGCTGCCTCTAGAAGAGGCAAAACAGCGCCACAGCCAATCTCAAACTCAAACTCCTCACTACTCTCAATATATTCCTTTGTGCATTCCCCTTCGGCAACCAAAGATATGGTATAACTTATACAAACTAAAGAACCAGTAGACGGAGTAACTCCAGAGTCGTGACCGCCTATCTTCACGGAAGATACCTTATCTACCAGCTTGTGATTCTGTTGATTCATGTAATCATAGGCCAAGAAACTGTGGGACTGTGTTCCGATGCTCTGAAACTGGTAATGCACAGACAGGCATGAAGCAAACTCCTTAAGAAAGTGCTGGGGATAAATAAGGATATCAAGTTCCTTGGAAGCAAAGGTAACAGTTTCCTCGGACAAATCTAGTATAACAAAAAATATATTCAACCATGAAAGGACTTTCAAAGCAGCAGTCTCTATTGCGTCAGCCTCTTTCTTATAAGACTCTTTTGGTGAGCACTGTATAATCAAATCCTGACACTTGGATAAAATCTTGACTACACACTTATATTCTACAATAGGTACCATTGGTTGATCATTTCCATTTGTTTTATCTCCACCTGAATCAGGTGATCCCTGCAAAGCTGGTTGTGATTCGAAGGGATTACATAGAAAGATAGGTTCAGATAGTCGATGCTGGCGGCAGAATACAATAAGGATTTCTTTTGGAAAGGAACCTTTCCAATTGCTCCGTGTTGTGAATACTGCAGGCAGTTCTGCCGCAAGTATTGCCTCCCTTGATAACTTGTAAATTCCCCTAGGTATCTTAGAGGCAAGCAACCTAGGAAAGAATAGAGAATAAAAGAAGATTCAGCAAATCCATAAGTTAATAATTTATGATAAAGCCATGCAGAAGTGCCATTCTGCAGTGTGGTAGTCCACATGCTTCTGAAATATCTCAGATATGCAAATAAAGATTGACTTCGTCAGAATTAGGCTGACATAAACCGAAAGGAAGCCAACTTGAGTACCTATAGTATGTACGTAAGGACACAACTTCATGAAAAAGATCAATAGACCGCCATGTGTACCCGAGAGATGCCAAAATTGCATCACCACATATATCTTGACCACATAAGTAGCTTGCCCTGACATTAAATTCTCCTTCAAGTTGACCAGTTTGATTGGTATGACACTGAGATGATTGGCTAAGTGTTTTAGCATTGGGAATACAGTAATATAGTCTTATCTCTGAGGAAGCTCTGCCAAGAGTCCTGCAAGGAAAAAGTACTTTAGTAAAATAACAAATATCATCGAGTGCATGAAAGAAAATTATGTTTGAAACTTGCAAAGATCATCATGTCATGGCCAAACAAGTAGCCTTTTTACTTTTTCTTAATAGATACCATCATATTTCACAATTTTCACATTGTATAATCATTTTAAAAAATATTAAGGTATATAGTAAAATAACAAATATCATCGAGTGCATGAAAGAAAATTATGTTTGCAACTTACAAAGATCATCATGTCATGGCCAAACGAGTAGCCTTTTTACTTTTTCTTAATAGATACCATCATAACAAGAAATAAAGAGTCAGATGTCCATCAGTCCATGGCAAAGGCTAACAGGAAAGTGATAGAGAGCTCACCTAGAAATCAGAACCTTAGAAGCATCCCTTAAACCTAGTTCACATGCAATAACATCCAGGTAATAGCCATTGCCAGAGGCATTAAGGATCATAGGTTCTACAGTCTTCTTAACGGAAGATGGAATTCGTATCACCTCAATTGGAATGCTTTCACCCATGCCAGATTCAGACTTTAATAAGGGTTCCATAGTCTCAGGAGGGTATGCATTCAACTTCTTCAGTGAAAGATGGTCTTCAGAGAAGAGCACAGAACCACCTAATTTTTCAGCTGCCCTATGAATAAGTTCCATCACCAACAAAATATTTGACTCAACCTCAGGTTTTATGTATTTGCATAAGCTACAAATCTTTGCATCACAGACAGCAATTGCAGATACTGGAACAAAACCATTAAGGTGACCTTCTCTCTGTAATGCAGCTCTTAAATGACCACTAACTGGATGCACTGAAGAAAGGAACTTCAACAAATGGAAAGAGGAGGGGTAGCAAATGTCAGTCTCTTTTTTATTAGCTTGACAATATGTGATAACAAAAATTGCACTGAATTTATCAACCATTATTAACAGTTGTTGTTGTTTGTTTGTTTTTTATTTTTATCCAACAAGTTTGCCACCAGGTATGTGAGGGGTGTCACTAACAGGTAAGATTAATGTATATTACAATAGGGGTGCATTTGGTTCAAGTTATGTGTTCAATTATCTCTCATTTCCTAAGGGAATGTTATATGCCCTCATTTGGTTCCCGGAATTTGAGATTCCCAGAAATGGTTTCGTAGTTCTTTTTTGTCACGTTCCAAAGAATCCCATTCCTCCCAAATTCTTAGATAAAGCAAGATTTCCAAAAAATGTGAAATTGGGACTCTCATAACCTAAACCAAATGCACCCTAACATTTATTTGCTCTTCCCAACATCCAACATTTCATGGTGACTTATAGTAAACCACATACCTCATCTGAGAACAAATATGATAGGCGACCGACTAATTGACCCCATGCTTCCTCTGGAGTAGGATTATCTTTATTTGGATGAATGCCAAGCTGCAGCACATGAAATATCTATGAGCAACAAAGGTCCCTGACACTGATAGAATGCATCAAGAAATGCACAGCAAAGAAACAAATTAATCCAAGAAAGTAACATTTCCTTAGATTTTATCCAAGATGTTATTTGGAAGAGACTTTAACTGGAACTTAGTTCCAGCACACAGGTTCAATATCCTCACCTCACGAAATTACAATCTTGAATGATTTGAATGTTACTGAGTCTGAATTTTACTTTATCTAGATTGGTTTTGAATTCTTTCAAGTCCATGGAGTAAAAAATAGTCCAATGTAACTACGATGGAGAGTACAGAAATCTGGAAGAACTGCAAATGCATTAAACTTCCATTGCACATTTAGGAGTTACTGAGACCAAACCTAGAAAGTGTTTACATTTTTTACGCATGAATAATATTGCTCACAAACAACGTAAAAATTGTTTCCCTTTCTTCAAACATCTGACCAGTAGATGAAGTAAAGCAAAACAAAATCTATAACCTTTTCTATGGCCTTCTCGGCAGCAGATTGCTCAGCATCCTTTTTTCTTTTACAGATGTCAGAGACAATAGAGAATTCCGGAAGTGTCAGAGTGCAGCGGTAGAGACAAGGACCCTTCTGTGAGATGCATAAACCAGGACATCCATTTTGAGTGCAATCTTGGATTTCCTCAACTGTGTACACAGCTGTACTACCAAATTTCTGGTGTATTATAGACTTGGGTGTAGGAGGAGGCTTTTTCGAAGCAATAACAGAAGACTTTCCGGCTTCCATTGTTTCGAACACACCTAATTTAACACAATTTCCACTGATCAATTACTAATCGTTCTCTCTGAATATTGCCTTCTTGTGTCAAAAAGGAAGACAAATTCAATCAGTTGTAGCATTCCAAGAAAAAATCAAACATATTCATACAATTTACATGTATAAGCCCAGTAAGCTAAATAGTATATAAACTCCCTTCAAGTAAAATTCAAGGAAACCACCCTCTATAAAGACTTAATAAACTAATAAAGCTAAAAAAAATCAAATTTCTTTCAAAAATAAAACATTAAATAGTATATAAACTCCCTTCAAGTAAAATTCAAGGAAACCACCCTTTATAAAGACTTAATAAACTAATAAAGCTAAAAAAAATCAAATTTCATTCAAAAATAAAACATTAAATAGTATATAAACTCCCTTCAAGTAAAATTCAAGGAAACCACCCTCTATAAAGATTTAATAATAAACTAATAAAGCTAAAAAAATCAAATTTCTTTCAAAAATAAAACATTACATAGTTACATTGAACAAACAATCAAGAAACATGTACTGCATAAAACATTCTGTAATATCCAAAACACAACCTACAACAGAAATAAATATACAGATGCCTTACTATATTGGCAGTGATATACACTAACATGATCAACCCATAACCCATTCATCCATTCCAGTACTATAAGCTAATACACAACACAAAATACTCAAAAAGTAAAATGCGGAGTGGAAAGATCATACTTATATCGACTATTCGAATATAAATTACGTATTTTTACACTAAAAAGAAAAATTTTGTGAAGAAAAGTAGGAGAAGACAGCACCTTTATATTGGCAATGGCTCAAGAGGGAGATACCCTTAGTATAGAGAGAAATGGGGTTGACCTTTCGCCGTGAACATAGGCCATGGTTTTTGAGCTTTTATTCTCCGAGAAGAAGAGTAGTCAGGAAGGAATGCACATTGTGTCAGTACTGCAGAAGAATTTTGGTTGACGGTCCGACCCGAATAATGAACCCGTATAATAGGAACCTACCCGGCCGCACACTGTACACTACTTTCTACTTTCTACTTTATAGTAAAGCCTTTGTGGAACGTGGAATATTACATGTAATTATTAAGAGTATCCCTAAATAGTGTGGATTTTTTCCAGATATTTTCACCGCATATAAAAAATAAAGGAAAGAGAGAGAAATGAAAATAAAAAAGGTGGTCAAACGACCGTCAATCTATACTATATATAAAAACAAAATTTTAAAATTTTAATTTTTCGTCCAATTCCTAAAAAATCTCTCTTCCTAATAAAATATATTGATTTCTACTTTCCCATTCGTACAATAATTCTGGGTAAAAATTCTATTCTAAAATTATAAAATAGTGTAATACAATTCTCTTTGCACATCTAATCTATACTATATATAAAAACAAAATCCTCAAATTTTAACTTTCCGCCCAATTCCTAAAAAATCACTCTTCCCAATAAAATATATTGATTTCTACTTTCCCATTCGTACAATAATTCTGGGTAAAAATTCTATTCTAAAATTATAAAATAGTGTAATACAATTCTCTTTGCACATCTAATCTATACTATATATAAAAACAAAATCCTGAAATTTTAACTTCTCGCCCAAATCCTAAAAAATCTCTCTTCCCAATAAAATATATTGATTTCTACTTTCCCATTCGTACAGTAATTTTGGGTAAAAATTCTATTCTAAAATTATAAAATAGTGTAATACATTTCTCTTTGCACATCTAATCTATACTATATATAAAAACAAAATCCTGAAATTTTAACTTCTCGCCCAAATCCTAAAAAATCTCTCTTCCCAATAAAATATATTGATTTCTACTTTCCCATTCGTACAGTAATTTTGGGTAAAAATTCTATTCTAAAATTATAAAATAGTGTAATACATTTCTCTTTGCACATCTAATCTATACTATATATATAAAAAAATCCTGAAATTTTAACTTCTCGCCCAATTCCTAAAAAATCTATCTTCCTAATAAAATATATTGATTTCTACTTTCTCATTCGTACAAAAATTCTGGGTTAAAATTCTATTCTAATATTATTAAATCATGTAATACAATTCCTATTGTAATCTATACTATATATCTATATCTATATCTATATATATATAAAAGTAAAATCCTCCTAACAAATTCCCCCCCCCCCCCCCCCCCCCCCCCCCCAAAACTTTTGTAGTAAAACTTATTTGGTAAGTAAATGTCAAATGGAAATTAAATAAAATCTATTAATTGGTAATATTATATATGGTATTATATTCTATAATATAATATAATTGATAATATAATTGTTCAAGTATAATAAAAATATTATTGTTCAAGTATAAAATAATGATTCAAAAAAAAAAGTATAAAATAAAATTAAAATAATAATAACAACAACAACAACAATAATAATAACAATAATATTATAATAATAATAATAATAATAATAATAATATTAATATTAATATTAATATAATAATAGTAATAATAATAATAATAATAATCCAAACAACACTATATACAAAATAATATTAAAATTAAAATTAAAAAAAAAAAAAAAAAAAAAAAAAAAAAGACAAAGGTTGCTCCCCTTAGTAAATGATGTGGGATCATTTTGATCCCACATTGAAAATGTTTGGAAAGAGGAGCTCTAGATCTCCTCTATATAAGAGGAGCAATGCTCCTCTTACAACCATACAATTGCTTGCCCATCAATGTGAGCAAGTATTGAGAAGTCCAAAGGTTTTTTATAGTACTACTATTGACCCGACAAATTATGTTGTGGAACTGTGTCCACCTTGCAAGGTAGACATGGTCCAAAAATAGTTCATAATTATGAATATAATAATCAATATATAGTTCAAAAATTATGAACATATAGTTCTATAATTATGAACATAGTGTTGTGAACATAATTATGAACACATAGTTATCTAATTATTAATATAGAGATTCAATAATTGTGAATATGAAGTTCAAAAATTATGAATATATATCTTTATAATTATGAACATATAATTCAATAACTATGAACATAGAGTTCTGTAATTATGAATATAGAGTTCAATAATTATGAAAATGAAGTTCAAAAATTTTGAATATATAACTTTATAATAATGAACTTATAGATCAGTATTTATGAACATAGAACCGTGTCCGCCTTGCAAGGTGGACACGGTTCCACAACCTATTAAAATCCAACGTGTCAAATGGCTCTTATTTAAAAAAAAAAAAAAAAAAAAAAACTTATCTTAATGGATTCTTAATTTTTTTTGTAATTTATTAGGGGGTTTGGGAAAGATTAACCAAAAATGTATATATGTGTTGTTTTAGTTTTTAGCAGTTTCGAACAAATTGTTAAGTTATTAAATAATATTTTTGGTGTTTTGATAAAATATAAAATGTTAAACAGACGAATTTCTTAAAATTCTGACGAATTTGCCAAATAATCAAATAACAATAACAACAACAACAACAACAATAATAATAATCCAAACAAAACTATATACAAAATAAAATTAAAATTAAAAATAAAAATAAATAAAGAAAAAAAAAAACAAAGGGGAGTCACGGGCTCCCTTTGTAAATGATTTTGAGATCATTTTTATCCCACATTGAAAATGTTTGAAAAGAGAGAGCTCCTCTTATAAGAGGAGCAATGATCCCCTTACAAACATAATTTCTTGTCCATCAATGTGGGCAAGTATTGAGATGTCAAAATGTTCTTATTTAAGAAGCCTCAACTCTGTCTTCTTATTTTAGTTTGTATTCATTTATTATTAATGGGGGTTGTGAATGATTAACACAAAATGTATGTGTTGTATTAGTTTTTAGCCATTTGGAGCAAATTACTGAGTTACTATATAATTTTTTTTGGAGTTTTGATTAAAGTTAAAATGTTAAAATGACGAATTTGTCAAAATTTTGGCGAATTTATCAATAATCAAATAAATAAATAAATAATAATAATAATAATAATAATAATAATAATAATAATAATAATAATAATAGTAATCCAAAAAAATGATATACAAAATAAAGTTAAAACTAAAATAAATAAGAAGACAAAAGGGTGCCACGCACTCCCCTTTGTAAATGATGTTGGATCATTTGATCCCACATTGAAAATGTTTAGAAAATAAGCTCTTGAACTCCTCTATATAAAAGGAGCAATGCTCCTTTTACAAACATAATTGCTTGCCCATCAATGTGGGCAAGTATTGAGAAGTCCAAAGATTTATTTTTATTTTATTTTATTTTTTTTGGTACTATTGACCTGATAAATTATGCTGTGGAATTGTCCACCTTGCAAGGTAGACATGATTCTAAAATTGTTCAAAATAATGAATATATTGTTCAACAATTATGAACATATAGTTCTATAATTATGAACATAGTGTTGTGAGCATAATTATGAACATATAGTTATATAATTATGAATATAGAGATTCAAAACTTATTTGGTAAGTAAATGTCAAACGGAAATTAAATAAAATCTATTAATTGGTAATATTATATATGGTATTATATTCTATAATATAATATTATTGTTCAAGTATAATAAAAATATAATTGTTCAAGTATAAAATAAAATTAAAATAATAACGATAACAACAACAACAACAACAATAATAATAATAATAATAATAATAATAATAATAATAATAATAATAATAATAATAATCCAAACAAAACTATATACAAAATAAAATTAAAATAAAAAAAATAATAAGAGGAAGACAAAGGTGGCTCCCTTAGTAAATGATGTGGGATCATTTTGATCCCACATTGAAAATGTTTGAAAAGAGAAACTCTTAATCTCCTCTATATAACCATACAATTGTTTGCCCATCAATATTGGCAAGTATTGAGAAGTCCAAAGGCTTAAGTCCAAAGGCTTTTTATAGTACTATTGACCCGACAAATTATGCTGTGGAATTGTGTCCACCTTGCAAGGTAGACATGGTTCAAAAATAGTTCATAATTATGAATATAATAATCAATATATAGTTCAAAAATTATGAACATAGTGTTGTGAACATAATTATAAACACATAGTTATCTAATTATAAATATAGAGATTCAATAATTGTGAATATCTCTGTATTTATGAATATAGAGTTCAATAATTAAGAATATGAAGTTCAAAGATTATGAATATATAACTTTATAATAATAAACTTATAGTTAAGTATTTATGAACATAGAACTGCAAGGTGGACACGGTTTCACAACCTATTAAAACTCAACGTGTCAAATGGCTCTTATTTAAAAAAACTTATCTTAATGGATTTTTAATTTTTTTTTTAATTTTTTTTTAATTTATTAGGGAGTTTTGGAAAGATTAACCAAAAATGTATATGAGTTGTTTTAGTTTTTAGCAGTTTCGAGCAAATTGAATATAAAATGTTAAACAGACGAATTTCTTAAAATTTTGACGAATTTGTCAGATAATCAAATAACAACAACAACAAAACAACAATAATAATAATCCAAACAAAACTATATACAAAATACAATTAAAATTAAAAACAAAAAAAAAAAAAAACAAAAAAAAAAAAAAAAAAAAGACAAAGGGGAGTCACGGGCTCCATTTGTAAATGATTTTGAGATCATTTTTATCCCACATTGAAAATGTTTGAAAAGAGAGAGCTCATCTATATAAGAGGAACAATGATCCCCTTACAAACATAATTTCTTGCCCATCAATGTGGGCAAGTATTGAGATATCAAAAGGTTCTTATTTAAGAAGCCTCAACTATGTCTTCTTATTTTAGTTTTTATTTATTTATTACTAATGGGGGTTGTATTACTTTTTAGCCACTTGGAGCAAATTACTGAGTTACTATATAATTTTTGGGGGGTTTTGATTAATGTTAAAATGTTAAAATGACGAATTTGTTAAAATTTTGACGAATTTATCAATAATAATCAAATAAATAATAATAATAATAATAATAATAATAATAATAATAATAATAATAATAATATAATATAATAATAATAATAATAGTAATCCAAA